TTCACTTTGACATTCAGAGTACTGGGCAGAAATCATGTCGAGTCAACACTCGCCGCAGGCCTTCGCGATGCTTTGTTTTAATTAGACAGTCGGATTCGCCTGGTTCGCACCAGTTCTAAGTCAGCTGCTAGGCGCCGTGCGGAACCGGGCCCGGGAGGGAAGGGCTGGGCTCACGTCTAGAGTTGCCACAGCCGCTGGCCCCCTGGGTGCCCGGGCCCCCATCGGGCCCATGACTCCACTGAGGACCACTGCCCCTCCCCCCACCGCCTGCCACATCCTGATGTGGGACATCGCGAAGGGAGAAGGAGGAGCCACGTGGGAGCAGGCGGGACGGAGAGAACCGCGGGGGCGGGCCCAGGCGGGAGCGTCCCAGGCATGGGGGATGCGGTGGCCCCTTGTCCAGGCTCAGCGCTTTCCAAGGCGCTTTTCAATTCGGGATGGGTCTTGGAGAGAAAACGGAACATGGACCCGTACCACACCCTCAGCCCCTGCTACTTCCCCAAGGGGCAGGAGGTGGGAATGAGTATGTGCTGACACAAGCGAGGAGCTAGTGCAGGCAGAGGGTGGAGAAATGGGCGGCACCTGAGCGGAGGGTTGGGTCTGTTCAGCAGCAGAGGGTGAAGATGATGGCGGAGGAGAGAGGGAGGAGGAGGATTAGGAATTGGTGGAGGCGGGAGTCCAAGTGTCTGGCTCTTCAGTAAGCACAGAGGTATGGTAGGGTATGGTAGCGAGAGTCAGGGTTATTTTCAAGTTTTGATTTCGCCGCCATGCTCCTTTCAGTTGATTTAGCTAAAAGGACCTGTGGTGTGGAACACTGGATGTATGGGGACGGGCAGGCTCGGAGATCCCAGAAAGCCTGAATGTATAGAACCTCCAACCATTTTCCTGAATGGTGGCAAAAATTGTCCAAGTCAGTAAGAATGCTAAAATTGAAAATACCCTTGGAGGGCCACCTAGATTGGTTGTCTAAGGGGTATTGAGGCCATTTTTGAAAGGAAGACTAGCCGTTTTTGCAGAGGAAGACTAGCCGTTTTTTTGCGGAGGCTATGGGAAAATCCGTTTGGAGAAAGTTAGGAGGAGACAGCCCAAGGGGTTTTAGGATTAGTTTTGGGCTCGGTATTGCCCATGATGCCCCGAGACCCTGGAGAGTTATCCCCCAAGATAAGGCATCCCCCATCTGAGAGGAAACTCTAGAATAAACGGAGGTGGTCTCCTGCTAGTGAGATGCCTTCCAGGTCACAGGGTCCCAAACAGGAGCAGAAAGCCATCCCTGGCGTGGCTGCGAAACAGGTCAGGAAGGGCTCAGATGGAGAGGTGGCAGGGCAGAGCTTACCCGAGTCCAAAACTGATTGCCGTTCTCGACCATCGAGGTTCGGTTGTAGAAGAGTCCCTTGGAGTGGGCCAGTGCACCTAACCATTAAGGGGGTCTCTAACCCGAGTTTTGGCACCAATGTAAGGTGGTCACGAGGCATCAGAGACCAAATCAGTCGAATTTAAGCAAACAGGCTTTATTCGGGAGAAAAACCCAGCCTGGGTGAAGTCCCACAGTCCACAGTGTCCAGTCCGAGGGAGTTGCACTCCAGGCTACAGGAGTGGTGTTTATATTGCCTGGGAACATGTGACTTGGCTGCCTTGAGATCCATATAAGGTAAAGTAGTCAGGGATTGGGAGATACAGGAATGTCCGGCTTTCTGGAATGTAAGGTGTCTTCCTGATTCCGGGTGTATTCATGCTGGGTGGAGGGTGGCAGGCCGTGTGAAAGGTGTCAGTGCAGGGTGGGCCAAGAGCAAAATGGGCTGTGAGTAAAAAGAAAAAAAAAGCACTTGCAAAGCTGCTGACAGATTACATTAGCCAGCTCTGGTCAGCTCTGCAGGTGTGTGGGAGAGATTCAAGGTCACTCACTGCTAGTTTTTTCAGCCAGATCTGGTCAGCTCCACATGTGGGTGGGGGAGATTCAAGGTCACTTGATGCTAGGAGCTGACCTGATATTGAGCTGGCCAGAGAGTTTCTAAATGCTTCCTCCCACCGACCCACACACACTTTCTTGATCCCAATTCTACCTTACAAATCTGGCTGGACTAGAGGATGTACACTGGTACACATGGCAACTGGAAACATAGGGAATCCCTGACAGATGATCCCTTCAGGACCAGTGCAAGAGTGGGGATACTGGGAGGGTGGGGTAGAAAGTGGGAAACCAATTACAAGGATCTACATATGACCTCCTCCCTGGGGGATGGACAACAGAAAAGTGGATGAAGGGAGATGTCTGGCAGTGTAATATATGACAAAATATTAATTTATAATTATCAAGGGTTCATGATGGAGGGGGGAGTGGGGAGGGGGTGGAATGAAGAACTGATGCCAGGGGCTTATGTGGAGAGCAAATGTTTTGAGAATGATGAGGGTAACGAATGTACAAATGTGCTTTATAAAATTGATGTATATATGGATTGTGATAAGAGTTGTATGAGCCCCCAATAAAACAATTAAAAACAAACAAACAACAAAAAATACCCCATGATCATCTTCCAGATGATGACAGCCAAATAAAAAGAAAATAAAATAAATAAAAGCCTGTAAATAGTTCAAGGTCTGTTTGTTGACCTTTAGTAGTGTTTTCTGGTTGAGTCTGCTGGTTTGCGATGCCCTGGCCCCACAGTCTATTTTTGGTATTCCCTGGGGACTTCATTGCTCTACTCCCCTTGCTGCTCTGTTTCACCTTGGTGTGGTGGGGTCAGATTGGGCACAATTACCACAATGTGTCTCCAGTGTTGTCCCCTGTAGGGTTATGGGTCAGTGAGGGATGTCTTCTAGTATGGCCTGCCATATGGTCCTCTCTGTGCATTGGCTACTCTGAGCAGGGATATCGTCCTCAGGGCTTGGTGGGCCAGGATGTGCTCCACTCTTCCTCCCCCTTCATTTGCTCCCGTGTGCTCTGATCAGACATGTCCCTCTCCCTGAGCTGTAGCTTCAGTGCTGTCCTCTGAAGTGAATTCTTCTTAGGGGAGGGGGTTTGTCCGCATAGTTGGGATTGGGCCGGCCCCTCAGACCTCTCTATTGGTTCCCTGCTTCATGCCGGTATGTTGCATTCACGTCTTGGAGCACCGGGTTGAAGAGACGGTAACTCTTTATGGGAGTAGAAAGGCTCACCTGTTGTCCTCAGAGTAGCTGGTGGTTTCAAACTGCTGTCCTTGCGGTTTCTAGCCTAGCACATAACCACGACTCCTCCAGAGCTTCCACACAGTCTTATTTCCTCATTGTGCTCCTTCTTATTTACCTCCTAGAAATCACAGGCCCCACCAAGGTGTTGATGTCTTGTGCTCTGATGGAGCTACTGTGTATGCTCCTTTCACTGGAATGATTGTGGGACAGGAGAAGCCTTACAAAAACAAAAATGCTATCAATAATGGCGTTCGGATATCTGGAAGAGGTAAGAAAGACAGATACCTGTGACACTGACTGGAAGCGACGCTGCTTTCATTTAATTACAGGTTCCAAACATAGAAGCTTGTATCTCCTTCAAAATTTTAAAACCTAGCACATGAGAGAGAGACAACCAAGCTAACATAGCTGATACATTTTCAAAGTTGTTCCACCGTTTTCCCCAAAACTCTCTGCTTTAAGTGCACAAGCCACCAAACCCAAAAGTTGACTGAACATCTTCCATCACGTGGCCGATGTGGCTTTCCTCAATGATCTACAAACAAAGGCACTTGCAACAATATTCACCCTAATGGATCATTTCATTTTTCAAATACTCTCCACTTGAAAATGTTGGCAGTTTTGCAAGCATCCAGGGGGCAATATTACCAATGACCTCGTTGGAAAGTAGCGGTTGGCCTTCTGGTACTCAAACGTTTAGATTTGCTATCTACTTTAATTCTATTGAGGGGAAACCTACAAAGGGGAAAATGCCCACTGTGTACGATTCAAGGAGATCTCACAGCGCAAATACATCAGTGCAATCAGCACTCAGAGCTAGAAAAACAAAACAGCACCAGACTTCTGGGGGCTTTTGGGCTGCCTTTTACTCATGAGCTCCTGCATGCACAGTCCCAACTCTAACACCGTATGTTAATCTTGCCCGTCTTTGCAAAGTACATAAATGGGATGCACTAATTTTTTGTTGATATTGCTTTCTTTCCACATATTTGTGAGATTCATTCCACATTCTTTAGGGTTTGTTCATTCTTTCAGATGTATATATTTGCATGTTATGAGGCCGTCTTCTCATTAAATCTCTAGAGTTGACTAGCGTCCTGATTTAGGGGATGTTTAAAACACTGCTTTCAACTGTCTTGTACATGTCTTTTTAAAAGATACTTTGGGTTTCCAGTGAGCAGTTACAGAGTGATTTAGGTTCTCATTCAACAACTTCTCCACAAGTTGTTTAATGGCATTGATTACATTCTTTTTGAGGCATGAATAGTCTCGTGATTTCTGTTCTGGTTGCATCATTTCCATTCATTTAGTTGCCCTGCTTACTCCCTTACATTCCACAATTATTTTAGCATGATTATTGACTACCTGGCCTCTTATGAGTGATTTTTTAGAGAAGCGTAGTACTTATGGGTGCTACTCGTTTTTAAAATCAATTTGTTATTAGGTACAAAGTAACCTTGGGTGAGTTTTGGTTCAAGGTTTGAAGACGATCTCAGAGAATGTTCTAGTTTCAATCAATCCAGTAGGTCTTTCCTTCCTTCCTTCCTTCCTTCCTTCCTTCCTTCCTTCCTTCCTTCCTTCCTTCCTTCCTTCCTTCCTTCCTTT